TGCAGGAGTTTCAACCCGAAAGCTTGCAAAGAGGAATTTTAATAATAATAATAATAATAATAATAAAAGATTAGACCCCCAAAAATGTGTCCGCCTGTGTCATTTGGTTACAACCTCCTCCCCCGAGACACTGCTCGTAGCACCCAGGGGCACGGCGTGGCGCGGGTCGGGGCGGCCTGTGCGGCAGCTGCTGGACCCGAATGAAGGCGGCGGCTGAGCCCGAAGGAAGGCAGCGGGCCGCCTTGCCGGGCGGGTTGGGAGCAGAGCGACCGGCCTTGCGCGCCCGGGCAAACACATTGTGCCACGTGAAGTCCCGACGCACGCTCTCCCTGCGCACCTGCCCGGCCAATGCGAGCTCATTGCTATTTAAATTCGGCCTGTTGGGCTGGGCTGGGCGGCCAGTCCCCAACGAATCGGGCGCGGAAGTAAACGAGTTGTCTGCTCGTAGTCTCGGAAATTGGGGGAATTACCTCCTTTCCGTTCTGGGAGCCCAAAAGCTTGCAGAAAAAAAAATTATATATATATTTGTTGCAATTTCTCATTTGGTCTGATAACAGGGCTCATCTCTGAACCAAGAGCTCTAGGTTTTTGCACTTCTTTTTGTCTCGGACCAAGACGGCAACCAAATACATCGCTTACCTCCTTTCCAGACTCTTGAGAAGACCCTGCGATTTATAATGATCTACCTAAAGAGGAGTTTACTTCCTACCTGGCTTCTCTGTGGGGGATGAGCTGGGTGGCACAGGGGAGCTTTACGCACACATCCTTCTGGCCTCTCTGCTGCTGCAATGTTGTTGCTGATTTGTGCAACTTGTTTGTTTCTAATTAGTGTCCAATATGCAGTGTTTTGCAGCCCTTAAAAAACCTCTGTTCATGGAGTGTTAGTTTGTTCCCTGTCTATAAAGTGCTCTGGCACTGGCGACACGTAGGGGCGGCACACGGGTGCGCGTGCGCCCCCTGAGATTGGCCGCCACCAGTGTCACTGGCGGTGCCTGTGGGCAGTCGCTGCTCGCCACCCTCCCCGCTCCTTGCTGCCAGGGGCGTCGGGGGGGGAAAGATGCTCTAGAAATGGATGATTAACACAAGGACAAGTGTTTTTCGGCGTCGGGGGTGGAAAGATGCTCTAGGAATGGATGATTAACACAAGGACAAGTGTTTTTTTTTCATCCCAGCCAATCATTTCAGAAATAGCTGCAAGTAACAGGTGTATTTTACTAGTGCTATAAATGCATATGCAGTATATATAAACAATTATGACCCATTCTTATACATACGTATATATACATATACATGTATTTGTATATAGGAATGGGTCATGATTCTTTTATATATATAAATCTTAAACTGCAGTGTCTGCACTGCATGTGCATTTATACCACTCTATATATCTGGGTATATAACTGGGTATAATGGGTCATGATTCTTTAGGCCTTAGGGGTGCTGCGTAGTCAGAGTTTAACTTATTCTCTAGTAAATGGCTTATTGTGGCCCTGGGCAAATCACTTCACCTCTGTGCTTCATGTTATCCAGGTGGAATTTAGGACTGGGGGTAATATTTATCAGTACACAGATTTGGAATTAGCTTGTATAAAACAAAGTTAGATATAGGCAACAGGTACCTTGGAACCAAGCCGAAGTGATCAAAATGGAAATCTAGCTTTTATTAATTTTAAACAAACTAGAGGTTAGAAAAAACTTTTATGCTTCTTTATATTAATAGATTTGTACATATATAGACGTTGTTTTATGGGCTAGTTGTAGCTATTAGCTTCTCTCTCCTCTCTTGGCTAAAGCCCCTTACTATATTTTAAATAGGAACCAATGTTGCAAATGCTTAAATATGTTTATTTTAGCATGTACCATGCTCAGACTTAAATATTTGTAGATTCGTGCATGATGGGGAGGCTCAGACTGTAAACTTTGAGAGGCAGGAACCATGTCTTCCTTTCTGTTGGTATAGTTCTTAGACCAGTGAGTGCCAATTTTTTTTGCAGGTATGCTACAAATAAAGCTCTATGCTTTCCTCAAGTACCACTCTAGTCCCCTACCCCTGCCTGATCTGCTGCTCTGCTTTCTTCTCCTTGTTCTATCTGCTGCTGTGTTCCCCATCCCAATCTGCCAAGTGCCATGCAGACGCTGCCTGTGGCACTTGTGGCGCACATGCCATAGATTGGCCAATCATGCCCCAGGCAATCATTGAATTCTGCTTGGGGTTTCTGGGGTCTGCCACAGAAAAATGATTCAGAAATAAGAAGGGCTGAATACGATCAATATAACTGAATAAAACCATTGCCCCAAATCTTCCACTTTGAATAGATAATATATCAGATTCACCCAAGGAACCTTGTCTGCCTATGTCCTTAGTCCAACACGGCTACAACCTACACCCCTGCCACTTTGAATAGAGCATTTAATTAACTTTAAGAAAGAAAATTCTGTTCACACCAAAACTGGTAATTCTCTAACCTACTACACACCTCACCACCTGTGCCAAAATGTCTGTATCAGCAGGGACAATTTGGTCCCACTCCCATGGGCATGGGGGATATAATGGAGTTTGTATTCAGAACTCTAATACATAGTATTATGGAGGGAGATACAGGCAGTGGCGATGTGTAGGGAGTGCACAGGGGTGCACCCCTGACCGGCTGCACTCCCCACTTAGGTGATGGACGGGGGGCAGGCGGGAGCACCGGTGCCCTCCCCAGTCTGTAGGATCACCCATGGGGGACCCCCCAAGTTGGTGGGACTGGGCATTGGGGGGGCATGTGCCCCCCCAACTAAGGCAGCACCAGTTGCCCATGGTTACAGGAATGATACCCGAGACTTCATTTTAGGTAGAAACCAGTAACAAACTTCAGATGTGGTCCCAATTCATGGGTTGCCATCTTGATTTGGCAAATGGCTCAAGCTATTATAGACAGTTGAGTACTGTGCGGGCCCTCTCCCGATCCCACCTGGATCGCCATGTGCGAGTTCTCTCTCGATCCCATCTGGGTCTCCATGTGCGAGCCGGGCCCGTCTTTGTGCACACAGGCTGTGGCCGGCAGCCCGGGTACACGGGGCTGGAGAAAAACCGCGGCGCGGTTTGGTACGCTCGAGCTAGAATCAGTCACGGAGGCGTAATGGTTGATTGAAAAGATTATTTACTTACACCCAAGGTGGTCGCGGTGTAGGCTGGTCAGCTTTCCAGGCACAGCTCCGCTTGAGTTCTCGGTGGAGGATTCTAATAAACTCGGTTTACGTCTGGACTGCGATCGGTGACGGGGAGAGGCTAGAGGTTATGTGCCTCGGAGTTGTTAAGGCTCCGAGGGTTAGGTAAATAGGTCCCCCGGAGTTGTTGAAGCTCTGTGGGTTCGACAAATTAAACCTCTGTTGCCCTCTTAAGGAAAAAGCTGGGTTCGTATGGATCAGCAGCGCTTAGAGATCTTCACGCTCCTTTCCCGAACTCCACGTGCTTTCTCTCTCTCCAACTTGGGCGGAAACTACCCAAGCCTTTTGTACGGCTAGCAAGCCAATAGCTAGCCGCCACGTATGCCTATATTTAGAACCGGCCAATAATGTGGCATGAATCTAAATACAAATGGCAGGAACTCCTTTGCATCGTGCATCACTATAATGCAAAAGAAATGCACCATGCAAAGAAAGCTACAGAACTGGCGGGAAAAACTCCTGCACGCGGGTTCTCCATTACAACAGAACACTCCACCGTGCAAAAGAGCTGCAATTTGGCGGGAACATGATTTAGCGATGCCGAAGCACACACAAACAAGAAAAACCACAACTTTGGGTTGTGGCAAGTACTTAGTCCACAAGCAGCAGATATTACTCTGCACGGCACCATGTTGGTACACAAGCAGAAGGCATATCACTGGGTCCTTACTGATATCCTACAACTGCAGGTAAAGGCAGCAGTGTATGATCCAACACTGTGGTCCAAAGCAGCTGAATATGAAGTATTTTATGTATCACAGACACACAAAGAACTCTTAAAACACTATGATTAGGGTTGAGCAGGTAAGCATTAAGAAGTTAAAACATGCTAAAATTAAGGACATTTATGCAACATTAACCTGGCTGTCTTGTGTGCATATATAACTTCTGATGCTTGACTTTGCCTCCTCAATAGACATCTTAGATTTGAACAGCTGCATTCCCCCATGATCCCATCCGTTAAAGCTTTCAGAAGTTTAAAACTTCACGTGATCTGGGGAAGATTTTCACTGAGAAAGGCACAATGCTGATTACAAGGCTGTTCTCTCTGCTAAAGGTCAGGTCCAGGCTGCACAGAATTGGAGTGTGCGGGGATTATGAAATATACTGTAATTATGCAATAGGTGATGGAATATTTTATTATTTGTAAATCTTCCAGGTATCCATGATTTGAGAAACAGACAGGCAGACACATGCACACACAGGGGGTTGAAAAGCTACTGTTGGCAGGATAAAGTTTGAGGAACCACAGATAAATGAACAGGTGGTGAACGATGGCAAGGAGATTGGTAAACCAAGGAGTAAACCTGAAGGTCTTGAATGAAGTCCACTAGTAGTACACAAAATAAGAAAGAAAGTTTTGTGTATTCAGAGTAACAAGACAGATTTGTGTGAAAGTTCGAGGGGATAACATGGGGTGAGAGAAATGGATTCTTGCTAGTGTGAACTGACCTGCTGGAGCCAGGCAGCCTGG